AGTTGCTAAGCCCAAGTTAAAATCGTTGTCAACGCCGTTGTTACGCTCAAATTTGCATATTACAGAGTCATTAAAAAGTGATTAACTCGCCAACCCGTGTGGATATATACCATTTTTTTATTTCACCCAGCGAGCTTGAGATAGGAAAAAAATACTAACACACAGAGAGTTATTACAGATGATATGCACGCTATATCGAAGTTTTGTCGTTTGCGGCTCTCTAAAACGTATAACGCCAAAGTCATTAACAGTCATTCATGGGGATTACAAGTAAAATTTCAATCAATTAAACTAATATTTAAATCACGTTCTGCCATATGGGGTCTGGGAGAGAATATGTTGCTGTCTAGAGTTATATAAACACATGCGGGAAGTTAGAGGTCATGATATGTAATTGTCAAGCGATTTCTATATTTTAATGCTAGGTTTTTAAAGTACTAAAGCTCGGATAAGGTTAATAAATTTAAGCTATGTTAAAGCACACCGGTTGCTATGTGTCGTTAGAGTGAAACTAATTAAAGGATTAACTTTTTATCAGAGATTTGCATTTTCTACTGTGTGGATAAATACGGGTAGATTAGGATATTCATTGCGCGGGCGTCGCGGGTTATCCGTGCGGGTTGGAAACACAACAATAATGAGGTTTATATTGGAAGAGAGAAAGCAATTTAGACAATGCAGGAGCGCTTTGCAGCCAAAAGTTTACACAAGAATTCAATCTTAAAATATCGTTAGTATTTTTTTCCTATCTCAAGCTCGCTGGGTGAAATAAAAAAATGGTATATATCCACACGGGTTGGCGAGTTAATCACTTTTTAATGACTCGGTAATATGCAAATTTGAGCGTAACAACGGCGTTGACAACGATTTTAACTTGGGCTTAGCAACTGCTTAGTTCTGTCTAAAAATTTTCTTATGTATGTCTAGATTTTATTATTCCTTATTTAACAGTCCTAAACATGGTGAATACATCCCCAGGTAAGACCAAGGATGGTGTTAAAGTAGTGGACACTCTAAGATAATCTAATAAAACCTTGTAATACGATGAATTCAAGTACACTTTTGTACTCTATTTCTATTGTCTTTATGATTTTGGGGAATTTTGAATAAACTGGGATATTCTCTGCAGAATCCCACCCCCCCGAATCTTTGCAAACTCCTATATGTCAGGAATTTTCGTAATATCCAATTCTCACTGCGCATTCGTACAATATCTACGTCCCACAAGCATTACAACAACTTTAGTAGAATATATATCGAGAATGTGTTAAACTCCACTCAGTTTGTTAGAAGAAATATATGTGGAGATAAATATATTAGCAAAGTATTTAACCGTAAAAATTGTCTTAAAACGCTAGTAATCATCGGTTCACCACATTCTTTAAATACATTACAAGCGTGTAATTGGTATGATATGATATACTGATGACGTAATGGGTGGAGCTCTAGTGCTCCACACGCGCCAGAACCCCCCTTCCCTATACTACTTGCAGTGACACTTCCTATATGGCACAAACGTATCCATAACTTCCATATATGGCACAAACGTATCCTCGACGCGTTTTATAACGTTTTATTTGGGGTAGGGATGACGTAATGCTGCTTCCCGCCCATGACGATTTGAATTAGTCATGTGATACAAGATTGCGAAAGCCGATTCGCCCAGAACGATGACACGCCCACGAAACGCCCACAATGTTCCTACCCTCTTATTTTCTGTTAATTTTTCTCGCTTGCTTATTATTTTGCCAGGAGGGGCGGCAATGCCGTACAGCATGTAGATTGAGACGAGTAAACATGGCGATGGCAGACGAAGCAGATATGGAATTTGTTTCGAATATTAAAGAACTATTTATGAAACAAAATAAGAAGTTATGAATATTCTGATCTTTTAAACTTAATTATAATGCATGAGTAAGTATAATACCATTTCTAACTTTCTATTTAACAACACTACACCTGTCCTATTGCCCGTGATTTCATCACTAATCGACCGCAATGCCATGCTATTACGTTGTAATACCATAGTTGCCGAGGGAAATCCGCGCGTGGTGTGTTGCCTGTTTTGAATGCTGTTTGATTGTCTTATGATTGTGGTACGAACACTTTTCATATATACGCACGCGTAGAAACACATCTCCGTGTCCATTGGCGTTTTAGGCATGCGCATAAACGGAATTTTCTCCCACAATTGTAATGTTCATAGTTGTGCCGATGATTTTCGATGAGGTACAGCTCTCTAATCAGAGGTAATGAGGTGGTACGCTTTTGTCTTCTAAATTTCCCCCATCAAGCATGCAGGGGAAAATTAGAACTAATTTTATCACGGGCATTTTGCTCGAGGTAAAATTAGTTCTAATTTTAATTTTACTAAAACTGTCTGTACCAGTGTGGGTAGTACCAATGTGAAATTGCTGTGCTGAGTGGTTATATTACTATCTTAAAAAATAAGCAGAAACCCGACGTTTCGACTTTCGAGCGAAGGCCCTTCGTCAAGAGTTAGACGAAGGGCCTACGCTCGAAACGTCGAGTTTCTGCTTATTTTCTAATTTTACTCCATGTTTTAGTAATGAGGTAAATTAGTGATTAATCGTACCTCGCGAGACAAAGGATTTCGAGGCAACTATGGTATTAATATAGTAAATGTATACCGGAAATAGGAAACACAGCAATAGGAAACGCGGTAATAGGTAATAGGAAATAGCCCGCCAGCGAACACAGCAATAGCAAACACGGTAATAGGTAATAGGAAATAGCCCGCCAGCGAACCAAATAGCCCGCCAGGGAACCCACTTTTTCAACACGGAAATAGGTAATAGCAATTACACTTCTGGGCTTCCGTAGATTTACTTACCCGATTCCCATGAGTTTACCGCGAAGATCGTGAGCGAAGCGCACCTGAAAACGATGCACGGAGGGATCGGAGCCACAATGACACAAGTTAGAGATTCATATTGGGTGCCTCGGCTGAGAAGATTGGCGAGAAAGGTACTCAAGTCGTGCAGCGGATGCTATCGGTTTCAAGCGAAAGCGTTTGCAGCTCCACCACCAGGCAAGCTACCAACCGATCGAACTGAAGCCTCCGAAGCATTTGAAGTAGTAGGTGTGGACTTCGCAGGTCCACTCAAGTATCGAAAGTCCAAGAATCAAGAAGGGAAAGCCTACCTGATAGTCTACGAATGCAGACTAACACGAGCTCTGTACATTGAAGTGCTGACTACGATGGAGACGACAGAATTTCTATGAAGTTTAAGGCGACTGATAGCCGGTCGTGGTCGCCCAATAAAGATATATTCCGACAATGGTGGAACGTTCGTTGCTGCAGCTAAATGGCTCGGAACTGTGATGAAGGATGAGCACGTTCGAAACTTGTTGGCGAAAGAAGAAATCAAGTGGCAATTTAATTTGAGTCGGGCCCCATGGTGGGGCGGCCAATTCGAAAGAATGATTGGCGTTATCAAGCAGTCTCTGTACAAAACCATTGGAAATGTTTTTTTGTCGCTGAAAGAGTTACGAGACGTGATATTGGATGTAGAAGCTGTGACCCTCAACAACCGTCCCCTTAGCTATGTCGAGGACGATATACAGTTCCCCATCCTAACCCCCAACTCCCTTTTATATGGACGGTCCAATGTCTTACCCGAGTTATAACCTCATTGAATGGAGTCCAAAGACCTTCGCAAGCGAGCCAAACATCTACGACGCTGCAAGGAAGCCGTATGGCGTAGATGGAAAAACGAGTAGCTGAGAGGGCTACGTGAAGTTACAACCAGCAACATGGCAACAAATCAAGTACACCGAAGGTCGGCGAAGTCGTGATTATCAAATCGGACGAGAGAAACCGTGGAAAGTGGAAGTTAGGAGTAGTCGAAACGGTGATAGTTGGGATCGATAACGTTGTACGAAGCGCGAAAGTACGAACAGGAAAGTCGTTAGTAGAAAGAGCGGTTCAACATCTTTTTCCGTTAGAATTGTCGTGTGATAAGACTGAAGTCACAGAACAAGCCATGCCGGCGAAGCTAAACGTGAAAACACCTGAATTCCAACCAAGACCGAAGCGACAAGCTGCCGTTGAAGCCAAAGATCGGATCACTGCAGTTAGGATCGAAGAAGAAGATGACTAACATTGACAGATAAGATACAATAACTTTTATACTATTCATATAGGACTGATTGTTATTTTATACTATTCATATAGGCCTGTCTGGTTATCCAAGCTGCCCTTGATCAATGGTCCTGAACCTCTTATCCTTAAGCATACCGATAATAATTTAACTCGTAGTCGGTCACACCAAACCCCTTTTCGGAAACGTCCCCAGAAGAAACTCCACCCGTATTAGACCATGGGCCAGGCATGGACTGGATGAACCACCTAGCTTTGCGTATGGAAATTCCCGTTAGAATTACTCGCCGCGAAAATTTGAGAAACAGAAAACAGTCCATGCGTATAATAATTTAATCCCACTACAGGCTAGTGAGAACCACACTAGCAGAAATACGTGTAGTACCCCATTAACCCCAAACGATCAGATATCAGTTCCCTCTAGTCTCAACATTGTTCACTTAAACATTCGCTCGTTAAGAAATATCGTTCACCTTACTGAGGTCAAGGAACTAGTAAAGTTAAATAATATCGATGTCCTCACAATTTTCGAATCGTGGTTAAATTCCTCAGTAACGAACCGTGAGATTGCAATCGACGATTATAAGATCCACAGACTTGACCGGTTACACAAGAAAGGTGGAGGTGTCTGTGCTTATATCAAGAAGAATATTAAAGCAACTGTCTTTTAAAAGATTTATCGAAGGTGTCTGTCTCTAACTTTCATCAACTATGGATGAATCTACAATGCCCAAAAAACAAATCAATAATAATTTGTGTAACCTACCGACCACCTGACACTTCTCTAAATTGTTTCGAAGATTTACTTAAGCCAAATTATGTTCAGGCTTTAACTTTGAATAAAGAGATTTTAGTGCTCGGTGACTTAAATTGCAACATGCTAGAAAACGGCCAAGAGCGGAGAGCGCTAACATATTTTTCTACAGAATTAAATCTCACACAGATTACTAAAACTCCAACTAGAATCACGGTGACGTCCCAAACGCTTATTGATGTTATTCTAATCTCATCCACAGCACTTGTTCTTGAGAGTGGTGTTATTAACACTTCTATCAGTGACCACTTACCAGTGTACGTCCTACTAAAGTTAAAGGCCCCAAAGATGCCAGCATGTTACATTACAACTAGGAGTTATAAAAACTATAATTCCTCACTATTTTCCTCTGACCTTGTCACTAAATCGGATCGTCTGTTATCCATATTATCCAACACCAACGTTAATACAATACTCGAAACCTTCAAAGATGTTCTTCACTCAACTCTCGACGTGCATGCACCGTTAAAAACCTTCAAAATTCGAAATCGATCATGTCCATATGTCACCAATGAAATAAAAGAACTCATGAAGTCTCGGGACCTACACCTCCGTCGGTTTCAACTGACACGTGATGAAGGTGATTGGGTAGTTTACAAAGAATATCGTAATAACGTAAAAACCAAAACTAAAGCCGCAGCGAAGGACCACACCTTTAACGAAGTAAGAGAACATAAACACAATTCGAGATCCCTATGGAAAATAATTAATAATATAATTCCCTCGAAGGAAAAGGAAACACAAGTTTATAGTAAAGATCCAAAAACAGTTGCAGAAGATTTCAACCTTTTTTTTTACTTCTGTGGGACGGAACGCTGCTGCGACAGCCGAAAGTTTAGCCAAACACAACAATGTTGCACTGTCAAATCCTCTGTCAAATGTAATCACTTATCCATCTGATCAACTGTTCAATTTCCAATCCGTTACTTGTACAGAGGTTCAACGCATTATCATGGCTATGCCAAGTAATAAGTCACCAGGACCAGATAAAATAGGCATGCGTGTCATCAAAGACTGTCTTCCAATCATACTGGGCCCTCTTACGCATATGATAAATTGCTCTCTAATGACAAGCACATTCCCTGACCTATGGAAGATTTCTGAAGTTATACCCCTACTAAAAGAAGGAGACCACGAGATAGCTTCGAACAATCGGCCTCTCTCACTACTCGAGGTAGTTTCAAAAGTTTGTGAAAAAGTTGTTCTAAATCAATTTAGCTCCTACCTCAAAGAATTTAATCGCATATCGTCACATCAAAGCGGGAATAGGAGTCTTCACTCCACAGAAACCTTAAACATATTTGTTACCGATACCATGTTGGAAGCCATAGACAACAAAAATCTAACGGCACTAATTTTATTGGATTTATCCAAGGCATTTGACAGTGTCAGTCATTCGATTTTATTACACAAATTGAGTTGTATCGGTACTTCACCCGAAGCTGTTAAATGGTTCCAAGACTATTTAACAGGCAGATCCCAATACGTGCGCATTGGATCCACCAAGTCATCAGCTCACCCGATAACCCATGGCGTTCCACAAGGTGCAATACTATCACCACTTCTGTTTTGCATCTATATTAATGATCTGCCAGGGAGCATACAATCGTGTAACCTTGATTCATACGTAGACGACTCAAAGCTTTACAAATCATTCTGCATCTACGACTTGGAATAGCCGGACAACTATCAATTTAGAGGCAGATCTACAAATAGCAGCCAAGTGGTGAATGAAGCACCAATTACTGATCAATCCAGAAAAAACTAAATTCCTTGTAGTCGGTTCAAGACCTATGCTGCAGAACGTACCTACAGAAATATCGCTAACATTTTTAGGAAAGACTATAAGACCTGTTTTATTAGCTAAGGGAAAGTACATTTATTATTCGTACCTATCCTACGACGTCCACATATCTAAACTCGTTTCGTCGTGTATGAGAAAACTATGTCAAATAAATCGCGTGAAGGATAGTTTCGATAATGAAACATTAAAATTGGTCATTGAGACACTTGTAATTAACAAGCTTCTGTACTGGTCTACGGTGTGGTCCAACACGTCATCTAACAATATCAATAAACTTCAATCAGTGCAGAACTTCGCGTGCAGAGTTATATCAGGGGTAGGAAAGTTCGATCACATAACTCCGGCGTTGCGCGAACTAAATTGGTTGCCAGTGGAAAAGTTATTATTGGAAAGGGATACTGTAATGGCTTACAAGTGTTTTAATGGACTTGCACCTGACTACCTAGTAGATAAATTTATAAAGCGTTCCGACATACATGATCGATCGACAAGAAATCATGATCTCTTGGACATCCCTCTGTATAAATCTGCTGCAGGTCAAAGAACATTTAATTACCGGGGTGTTAAAATATGGAATGACTTGGATGATAAACTAAAAAATATTACATCAATAACAATTTTTAAGAAAAAACTTAGGGAGATTTTACTAAAAGAATCCTATTAAATACATTTAATATTTCATACTCTTTGTACATATTTTAACTAATTTTAAATAAGTATATGTAACATAGGTAGATTTAGAAGTAATTTATAGTAATTTTAAGATGTAATGTAGTGTTGAAAAGCCCTTAGGGGAACACGCAATAAAGTATCTATCTATCTATCTATCTTCTTCATGCCAAATGGATAAAAAATGATCAAATACGAATCCGATATAAAATGCTAGTCAAAATTGCATATTTTCACCGTTGAGAGTTGGGTCTAAAACCATTGAAAATGAACTCCCTTTGGTACTTAAGTTGATGAATTTCACGTCATTAAACTACGCACATATTCATAATTATTACTAGAAAATACATGCATGCAGAAACCCTCGCCTTGCTGACAAAACCATTGTATTTTCCGAACATGAAGTATCTTACGTTGTTGTCATGGTAACACGATAATTTTTTTGAAAATGAAAAATCGCTTAAAATATCACTTTTAAATACAAAATTGTCAATTTCCCAACATATATATATTAGGTATGATATTATACGTAATATAAGCTTCAATTTAAGGTGAAATTCAACCACAAACAGTTTTAAAGTGTTCTTTATAAAACTAAACTGCCTTTAATGAAATGGCTTTATCGATAAACGTTGAGTTTGCAATAAAATGATTTTCAATTCTCGCATGCAAATAACTTTGCTTTCTTTTAATTTTATTTAAAAAATTCAATATAATAAAAAAGGGAATCAATATTAAAGATACACTGAAATTAGATGCTGTCTTGTTTAGATGTTTCGTATACGCAAAGCCAAAGGCCGTCGGCAATTACAAAATCAATATTTAAAACAAATTTACCTTCGTTAACGTCGGCTCCCTTCTTTTAGCCGATTCTTTTGCATATCTTTCTTAAAATTGACAAAATCTTGCAAAAATGCGATCAAAAATGAAATATATTTGCAAGAAATTTATCAATCATCAAATCAAGAAATGTTTGCTATTTTGCTGTCGTCATGCAGTCGTTATAATGCAAACTTTAAATTAGACAAATCAGTGTCCGCTATTCATTATTGTCCGCCAAATTTTTGAGATCAGTGAGGATGACCACCCACCGAACCACCGAACCACTCACGGTAACCCACGCCCGAGCTCATTGATAAACTTTAGACTTGGCTTATGCTTTCGTTTCCCCGAGTGTAAATAGCCGGGGGGGGGGGG